CTCTCTAGGGGGTCCCACAGAGGCACCTTACTGAGAGACCACCGCAGGTGCATGTGCTATATAAATGACACAAACACATGGAAATTGTCCTTATCTGACAGACTGGGAAACTTCAGAGAGGTTAAGAAACGTGCTTAAAGTAACACAGCGACCTCCAGTCAGGGACTGGTTTCAGCGCCTGTGCTCTATGGCACATGATGTTTCTCCATCTTAGATGACGAAGATAGAACCTCTGCCTTCCAGAATGAGCTGGGCTCTGTGCTTTCTGAGCGCTGTCTAGGAGAGGTTTATTCTTGTCGGTGTGCTCTGCTAGAAGGGGCACTAAGCGCACCACATCAGGACTTGGGAGATGTGATTCCGGCCCACTGGCCCTTCTGTGCTCAGGCTTTCTGTGTGCCCTGCTGTCAGACACACACGTACACACACACGCACACACAATCCTCACACTCCTCCAATTACACACACACAGTCTGTTGGACTTTATCAAGAACACCTGTGCTAGTCCAGTCCATTGCAAATAACAGAAAACACCCAAAACCAGGAGATTTGTGAGACTAGATGTTTATTTGGCTCTCACTTGGCATCCAAGGTCTGGCAGTGGCGTCTAGGAAGGTCTTCTGGCTGCATTACAATATGGCGGAGGCAGGAGCATCCACCTCTGTGTCTCTCCCCTCTTCTATAAGCCCTCCTGATGACCTTAATATCTTTAAGAGCCCCACCTTTCAACACTATAGACAGATTACATTTCCACTCTCTTAATCCCATCACAACCAAATCTCAACACATGAACTTGGTGGGAGGTAGGGGGGGTGGCCTTCCAACCATAGCAACCTCCTATCACAGAAGAAAGTCAGGTGCTGTCCTGTGGAGATGCTGGGAGTGACCCAGTGGTCACCACCATCAGAAACTACACTGTGAAGTGAGCCCTGGGCCCAGCCTGCCTTGCACTCCAGCCTGGACGGCCCATAGAGTCCCTGATGGTAGGTGTGACTTGAGCAGGTTGGTCCCTCTCGCTCATTTTACAGATGGGAAAACTGAGGCCCAAGGAAGACAATATTAAGGTGAGATCATCCCAGTCCTTTGCTGCCCTGGAGGAAGGGCCTACAGCTTCTTTATGATATGATTATTAATAATATCAACATCACAGTGTAGTAGACAGCCAGATGTTCTTCTAAGCACTTTATGTATAATTTTTGCTCTGATCTTATGTGCTCAGGGTTATTATCACCCCATATTTAAAACAAAGAATTATTTTATTTGACTTTATTTTCATTTGACCAAAGAGGGTCATAGTGAGAGAGAGTCACCAGGTCCGGGACTAGAACAGAGGTCGGCCATGGGGGAGTCCAGGGCCCTTAACCGCCATGCCCCCTGCCAGCCCCTTATCACGCCATTTTATAAGAGGTAATTTTACAAGAGACAGGAACACAGAGAGGGGTGTAACTTGCCCAGAGCTACCTAGCTGTCGGTGCAGAGCAGGGGACAGAGCCAGGCTGTTCTGAAATGTCCCTGCTTCCCTCACGGAAGAATCCTGATCCAAGGGGACCCTGGCCCAGCCCCCAGTGCTGAGTGGATGTGTCTAACTTCTGAGACTTATCCTGAGTAGCCCTTGCAGACATCTGGAGTCCCCTGTGGCCTCGGGAGGATCAGCAGCACCCCTAGTACTGAGTGGATGTGTCTAACTTCTGAGACTTATCCTAAGTAGCCCTTGCAGACATCTGGAATCCCCTGTGGCCTCGGGAGGGTCAGCAGCACCGGGCCTGCACAGAGGCCCCAGGCCAGCAGCTCCCTGGAGGAGGACAGCTGGGCCCAAGGGGAAGATGTGGAACCTTCCTCAGGCACTGGTTGAGGGTGGATCCACCAGCGGCTGCAGCCCCTAGAGACACCCATAGAGTGGCAGGGAGCTGTGGCACAGGGCGGGGTCCCACAGGAGCTGGAGGCTGAGCCCTGTGGCTCCAGCCCACAGCTCTTCACCAGGCTCAGGCTCACAGCCACGTCCCTCACACTACAGGGCTCACAAGGCTCCCAGCAGGAAGGAGAAGTTTGCTTCCTCCATCTGATTAAATTCGGGGTCCAGGATGCTCGCCACCTGCAGGAACTACTCAGCACAGAGAGGTCTCAGGGTGCTAGGTGGGGATAATCCACCCGGGCAAGGGCCTCTGCACCCCACTCAGCCAGGCTGCCTCACTAGGATGCTCCCAGTAGAACTGTAGAGGCAGAGGACGCCTGCTCACTCCAGCACTGTGCGGTGCAGCCTTGGCACATACTGTTCTGCCGGCAGGTGGAGCCCTGTTCCTTATCTATGTTCCTGGCCCACAAGGATGGCCCACGGATGGCCTCCCCTGGGAACTCTGGCATGAGCTACGTCGAGTGTTGTAATTTCCACTCCCACTTGCCTTCTCTGGAGTAGCCCACGAGCAGCACACGGCTGCTACTTCCACCTTCACATTCCCAGGCCCTGGCAGTTAGCAGGCCAGTTGAAGGTGTAGGGACGGCAGCAACGTGGAGAGAGGCCCGTAGCGAGACCAGTCTCACTGCGTGCTAGGTCAGATTGGTCTGTGTGAGGAATGATCAGATGAGAGACCAGGAGTGGGTGTTTGAGGCTATCAGGGCATTTAGGGGAAAGCGATCACCTCCGATTGGCTGTAGTGAGGAATGATTTGCATGTGTTTGTATCTTGTGTCTATAAATACGAGAACATGTTTGCTTTTCTAAACAGCTTGATGGTGCTTGCTGGCTGTCTCTCTGTAACTTGTTACTGAATAAACTCCCTCCCCAGCCCCTGCCTCTCCTTTCATTGACCAAGAGAAGCAGAGGGACTTAGTCGGCAGTAACAGCAGAGGCTTGGCATCCCACACACCCTGAGGCTCCACCACTACCCCAGCGGGCACGGGAACCATCTTGGACCCAGCTGCACCCAACAGGCACTGTTGGGGATACCTGCCCCGAGTCACAGGGGTTCCAGTCCTACACCTGTCTGATTTCATGGCCGAAGGAGGGGTCATCCCTGCTTGTCCAGCTTTAGACAAGGGCCTTTAGACCTTTCACTAATATTTATGCTTTGTTTCAATTTAGTTAATCAAACATCTGCATAGTTTAAATAATCAACTTGTTCTGTAAGATATTTTGGTCCCATTATCCCAGCCCATGCCCCTCCAGGGAGCCCTCCTGGTGTTGGTTAATTTTGTTGGTTAACTCTTCCCCTTCAGTTGGTTGTTTTAGCAATGACCTCTGTCACATGTACCTGTTCTACAAACGGCTTGTGATTACTCCCCCGTCGAAGCTAGACAGTTCCCTGTGCAGCCGTCACAGTCATCTTAAAATATTCTCATTCCCCCGATAAGAACCTGCGTGCTCTTCATCACCACCTCACCCCAGCCGCGATTCCTCCTGGCCCTGGGCCACTGCTGATCTACTGATACTTCGTGTTGATTCGTCTAGAATAGTCCACATACGTGGGATTATGTGGTACTTGGGTTTGGTGTCTTTTTCTTAAATAACAAGCTGTGTTGTGCATCAATTGCTAGTGTTAGGCACGCTCTATGCACCCACCACAGAGGACGAGGACCTGGTCTCCCCCATACCACATATGAATCCCACCCTGTCTTCCCAATACAGCTGCGTCATAATTCTTTGTTCATTACTCTCATTATGACTGAATATTAGGGTAAGGAAATGCTATTCAGCTATTAATAAACCCTAATTACTTTTCCCTTCTTGCAAGATTTCTATTTTGCTTTGCTTCTCGTTGTTCTTTTTTTTTTTTTTTTAGAGAGGTTTTTGCTTTGGGGACATGCGCTCTCCAGAAAGACAGAGACAGAGAGACAGAAAGCGAGAAATCACCCCCCCC